AAAAAGGCTCAGTGGTTAAGCAAACCTGGGTTCAATCCCTAGTACCAAAAAAAAAAGGAAATTAAAAGACTGGTAAAGTGCCCTGGGTTCAATCCCCAGTGAAAGAAAGGAAGAAAACTAATAAGATACACTCTGTTTTCCATATACTTCATTCCTATTTCCCTATTTATGAATATATTTTTTCTGTCTCTGTCTCTGTGTCTTTGGTTTTTCCTAAAAACCTTAGCCTGTAAAATTGATGTACAGTTGCCTCACTCACAGAAGTATTATTACCCTTCCTTGCTGGCAATATTCTGGAGTTCTTAATTGTCTTAAAATTGTGATATTATCTGATACTTCAGACTTCTTACCTAGAGTGAAAACTACTTTTAGCATCCCTTTCCCAACAGAGAAAAAATAAAAACAGCCTATTTCCCTATGACTCAGCCAGGGTGGTGTACTGCTTCCAGGCAGTAGAACATGTTTCCTTCTACTTCTTAGCTCTCTGAAGCTTATCTGAAGGCCATCATAACTGAGTAGATACCTGCTACAGAAGTTTCCTCTTTCCTGCTAAATATTGAGTACTGAAAATAAGAAAGAACTTGCTTTACCTCAAACCTCCAGCCTGCCCTCCCCACAGCAGCTATAGACAAGACAATGGAACAGCTCTCCTGGGCTCCTGCCTTCAGGCATATTTTTGCAGGGGGAGAGAGGGTACTGGGGCTGAACTCAGGGGCACTCAATCACTGAGCCTCATCCCCAGCCCTATTTTGTATTTTATTTAGAGATAGGATCTCATTGAGTTGCTTAGGGCCTTGCTTTTGCTGAGGCTGGCTTTGAACTCATGATCCTCCTATCAGCTTCCGAACCACTGGGATTACAAGCATGCACCACCACGTCAGGCTCAGGCATTTGTTGAATGTCACTTAACTCCAGTTGGCTGTTGAGCATCCAGGCCTCTGCTCCCATGTCCTCCCTGCAACAACTGCGGGAAGGCCTAGAGCATTCACGTGTGCAGGGGCTGGAGAGGGCTGAAGAAGGTGACTTCCTTTGTTCAGACCCTTATTTCTTCTACCTGGTTATCTGGGCCAGAAGCCACTCCCTAGCAATGTTGAGGGCTGTGGGTAGAAGTAGGGGTATGAAGAGAATTCTCCATGCGGGCTCCATCCAGAGGCAGGATCTATGGGAAGGTCCTAGAGTGCAGGTAGGAGCCACCATCTTCACTTCCACCAGGTGTTTATCTCTGTGGATGATCTGGAGCCTCCAGGGCCTCAGTGCCCCGAAGATTCCAGACCAAAGCCTGAGCAGGAGCCAGGAATTGGGACTCCAGGCACAGCCGTGGTGGAGCAGCAGCAGTCAGTGGAGTTTGATTCTCCTGACTCAGGGCTGCCGTCCTCCCGCAATTACTCTGTGGCATCAGGCATCCAGTCCAGCCTAGATGAGGGCCAGAGTGTGGGCTTTGAAGAAGACGGTGGTGGAGAAGAAGGCTCTGATGGGCCAGCACCTGCAGGCCACACTTTCTCTGAGCCTCAGGATCCCAGCCAAGAAAAGGTTTCACAGGCCAGTGAGCTGGAGGCAGCCGGAGAGCTCACAGCTGTGTGTGCTGCGGCCTACACTGTACGTGAATGTTCTTCAGGCTTCATTCTCAACTGACCTCGGGCCCTCCCAGCACCCCAACACTTGAGGACAGGTTGCAGGGTGGAGGGCAGGGTGCCCTAACTGTCTGGAAGGGAGCATTGAGCCCAACTCAGTGCGTCCCTAGGGACTCTATTCTCAGAGCTCCCTGGGTTCCCTGTTTGACTGCATTTCTTTGGGCACCATATTGTATCCCCAACCTGGGAGGGACTGGTCAGCCTCAGCCCTGAGAGCTGACCACTCTTCCAGATAGAATTATTGGACACCGTGGCCTTAAATCTACACCGCATAGACAAGGACGTGCAGAGGTGTGACCGGAACTACTGGTATTTCACAACCCCCAACCTCGAGCGGCTCAGAGACATCATGTGCAGGTGCCATTATGGGACAGGGCCGGGGGGTGGGGACCTCCAGTTGTGCTGAGTATTTCTCCTCTCCTGATCTGCACTGGGGTCACACTGGGCCCTCTATTTGGAACACTCCCTGCAATGCCCCTTACCCTAACCCTCTGCATTCCCAGAGGTCCTTGAGATCCCTACTTTGGCCATACTTCTTCAGGAAGCTTTACCTGTCTTTGTTCCCCTGCCCCACATGCCAAGTTGTGATGGCTTTTTGTCTCTTTTCCTAAGTACCTCAGGAACAGGGGCCAAGGGCAGTTCCCCATTGTCTCCCACACAGAAAGTGCTTCACAGTCATGGAAAGTCTGACTTATGGCTGGTCTAGGGGCCAACTCCCTAGGGACCCCCCAAGGGAGGGAAGGATGGGGCACAGCCACAGTGATCACCCCTGGCATTTCAGCTATGTGTGGGAGCACCTGGACGTGGGCTATGTGCAGGGCATGTGTGATCTGCTGGCACCTCTCCTGGTTATCCTTGACAATGGTGAGAGATGGGGTATGTGAATCCTCCAAATGAGGTTGGGTTTGGGCTAACAAACTGGAGAAAGGAAAAGATGGCTAGATCTGGGAGGGGGGAATGTCAGCCTGCATGTTTTCTGGGTGTACTGCCCTGCTGCCTCCACATCTCTCCTCAGATCAGCTGGCCTACAGCTGCTTCAGTCACCTCATGAGGAGGATGAGCCTGAACTTCCCCAATGGGGGCGCCATGGACACTCACTTTGCCAACATGCGCTCCCTCATCCAGGTGAGGTCTGCAGCCACCTGTGGGCCTGTGACTAGGCAGTGCTGGGCTATTCTGTCAGCCAAAGGGAAATCAGGAGCATTACAGAAATGTCTTTTAGATAGAAACGTAACTTCTTTTGTTTTCAAAACCATTGTTGTCCACATTACAAACTGGGGAGGACTCAAGGTGTGTGCATGCTTGTAAGTTATAGTGAGTAGTATGGTTGATGGTAAAATCAAACACCCAGACACTGTAATCTCAAAATAATACAGCCCAGAGAAGACAGTGGGGCAACCCCCACTAAGGAGACCTCAAGGGAAGAGGGTGAGGATGGGCTGGCACAGAACAACAGAGAGGCTGAAGACTGGGGCTGGGAGCCCAGGCCTCCCTGGGTAGGTATAGCAGAGAAACAGCATGGGATCAGTCTCCCTCTTCTCCTATGAGATCCTGGACTCTGAGCTGTTTGAGCTGATGCATCAGAACGGAGACTACACCCACTTCTACTTCTGTTACCGCTGGTTTCTGCTGGATTTTAAGAGAGGTAAGAAGCGGGTTAGATCATTGGGCTGGAGTCAGGGGCAGTGGGAGATTCATCTTCCCCAAGTCAATGGTCTTCTAACTCTACTTTGGCACCACATAGGGAGCTTTGAGAAATTACCAGGGCCCCTTCCCTGGCCCAGCCCCAGACTATTGAGGCTGGCTGGGTATGTGTGGGTTTTGGTTTTGTTTCTGGGGATCACCCAAGGCCTTGTGCATGCCAAGCAGGCTTTCCACTGCTGAGCCACACTCCAGCTCAGCATATGTGATTTTATAAGTGCACAAAGTGATTCTATAACACAGTCAGGGTTTATAGTAACCCTCCTAAAAGTTGATGATTTTCAGAGCTTTTTTTCAAACCAAATCTTCCTGAGCATCAAAGGTAGAGTTGCCCTGAAATGAAGTATTGATGTGTAGTCTGCAGTACACACTACAGGTTCTTGAACCCTGTAGTATGTATTGCAGAGAATCCCAGGACTTTGGCTGTGGAGCTCTGACTCCCACCTGGCTCTATCTAGGGGCCTGTGGGCAGTCAGGCTTTGCCTTAGCCCAAGCCCTATGCCTGATGAGTACCAGCCCTATTCTGTTCCTAGAGCTGCTGTATGAGGATGTGTTTGCTGTGTGGGAGGTGATCTGGGCAGCCAGGCACATCTCATCAGAGCATTTTGTACTGTTCATCGCCCTGGCCCTGGTGGAGGCCTACCGAGAGATCATCCGTGACAACAACATGGACTTCACTGACATCATCAAGTTCTTCAATGGTATGAGCTGGCCCAGTCATCCTGGCTAACCCCAGCAGGGGCGTGGGGGCCTCCACTCCTGTCCTGGGCAAAGTTGGAGGGTTCTCAAGAATACCAGGGTCCTTTCCCCATAGGCAAGAAGTCAAGAGCCCAGCAGGTGGAAAGGGTATTCTGCCACAGGGCTCTTCCCAGCCTATACCTCCTCTCCAGGGCTCCCCACAATTATCTATGTTTCCCCTAGAGCGGGCTGAGCATCATGATGCCCAGGAGATCCTGCGGATTGCCCGGGACCTCGTCCACAAGGTGCAGATGCTCATAGAGAACAAATGAGGGCTGTAGCCAGGGGCTGCATGGAGAGCCTGGGCACCAGGCCCCTGGGCTCCAGCAGGGAGAGGTGCAGGGGCATTACAGCCGATTGCTTCAACCCCCAGCTGTCCCTGCCTGCACAGCTATGTTCCTAACAAAGTGATTGTGAGCCTGGATCCGACTCCAGGCTGTGCTGGCCCTGTAGGGCTAGTCAGCGCCAGGCTGCCCTCAGATCAGGGATGGGATGGGAGGGGTTGGCCTCACGGAGCAGCTGCCTTGGGGCACACCTACTCTGTTCTCCTCTTAAACAACTAGGAATAGCCCCACTGCCACCTGCAGCCTCAGCCTGGACTGTCCCCCAATGCCTCTCTTGAATCAACCTGGGGCCCTCTAGAGCTAACAGGGACTATATAGTGGCCTGGGCCCCACCTGTCAAGAGTTGCAGGGGACAATGGGGCTCTGTGTGTTCTCTCTCCTGATAGCCCCTTTGCAGTCCCTGTTCTAGCTGCCTTTTAGGGCATGTGTCCTGGAGACAGGAGACCTAACCTGCCTTCCAGGCCCTCTCCCAAGATTCTAGGGCAGTCAGATGTGGGTCCTGGGTGGGAGAAACCCACCTTAGCAGCACTGCCACCACTTCTGGCCACCTGAGGTAAACTCAAGTGCTCTCCCTACTATACAGGTCACCTATGTGTGTCTGTACAGTGTCACTCTTACCTCCCTGTCCTTTCTTTATGTATTAGATATATCCCTGAAACTGTGGAAGTAACATTCTTGTTAGTTGGATGATCTGGAGCACAGCTGGATCACTAGCTCTCCAGAGGAACCCCAGGTGATTTTATAGGGAGGCAGTCCTGTCACAGCTTCTTCTCAGGGACAGTCCTGAGCTTAGGAGCAGCTTGTTGCCTGTCCCAGGAATCTGCTGAGTCCCTGGGGCTAAGGGATATGGGGGGTGCTTGGTGAAAAGCAAGGCCCACTCTGATTTCCATAGGCTTCTCAGGATGCTGAGAGGCCTAGGGATCCAGAAGTCCCTGAGAGGAGCTGCACTTGCAGGGGTGCCAGGAAGGGTGTGGCTCCTGACCTGAGACTTAGGCATGCTGCTTGCTCTGTCAACCCCACAGCCCCTTCCACTCAGTTCATGCTAGGCCTTGTCCTGGAGGATATATCTGGGTTTGGGGCCTACCCAAGAGTCACCAAGGTATGCAGACATGCCACATTTGGGAATCATGAGAAAGAGCCCAGCAGCTATTCCGCAACCAGCCCAGCCTTCCCAGCCCACCCCTGTCCTGGGCACTGCACGGCCTGTTTGGGGGCCAGCCCACCCCATTGCCCACCCCTGTCTGTAAGTCCTTGGCCTCCACCAAGCATGGTGGCCATTGTGTGCCTGCCTTAGTGACTCAGTGGTTTTGTGGAGAGCGGAGTATATATGTTTTTGGCTCAGAAACTATACTCTTCAGTGTAACCAACCAATAAATACAGCATTTGGCAACACTTGAGGCTCTGAGGACTGCCTGTGGGACTGACATCAGACACTAATGATGCATTGGGAATTCTGTATGCTCTATGATTGAAAAAGTAAAGGGGGCCACTGCTGCATGAGCTAGTCAGGAAGTTGGAGGTAATGGTCAGACCTAAGTACTTGGCAAGCTGGAGGGCCTCACCTCAGAGTCACGGTCCCATCTCAGGTTGACCAGTGACCTCTCCAACCCCTTGCCCCCAGCTGCCTGCCCTCCTGACATGCTGCACTGAGGAGCTGGAGCCGACTGGGAATCACAAGACATCCTAGTCCCTCCCTCCTGCCCTTGTGACACTTTGAGATGCCTGGGTCAGGATGGGCCCTGGAGGGAGTGGCAGGAGGGCCCAGATCCTACTGAGATACAGAAAGAGCCTGGCTGTATTAACAGGTCCTGGCTATAATTACAGGTCACCTCTTCTCCTGCCCTTCCCCTAACCCAGAGTACTGTGGGTCACATCATCAAGTGGTGCCGGGCAGAGGGCTCAAGTCACTTATTGTGTTTTCTAGGTATAGAGGACACTGGCTTGATGGGTTTTAGGGCCTGTTGCTAACTCATTCAGCTAAATATCCCAGCCCATGACTCTAGCAGGCTGGTCCCAGCTATTAGAAAATATGCCAGAGATGCCCAGAAAAAGAAACCAGTTGACACAGAGCCAAGTGTGGTGGCGCACCCCTGTAATTCCAGGAAATATCATAAGTTTGAGGATAGCCTCAGCAATTTAGTAAGACCCTGTCTCATAATAAAAAGAACGGGTTGGGGCTGTAGCCCAGTGGCAGAGCGCTTGCCTAACATGCATGAGGCACTAGGTTCGATCCTCGGCACCATATAAAAATAAATAAAATAAAGGCATTATGGCCATCTACAACTACAAAAATAAGCATTAAAAATAAATACATAAAAAGAACCGAGGATGTCTGTCAGTGGTAGGACATCCCTGGGTTCAATACCCAGTACCACAAAAACAGTTGACATGGGCATCTCTGGGGTCAAGGGAGTTGATAAGCTCCTCAGGGAAACACTCCCCGCTCCAGCTAGCTCCATAGTCTGGAATCAGAATTCTTTCTGCTGTGACCACTTGAAATGAATCCACCAAAGGACTGAGTAAAGTAGCCTGGGAGTGGCTTGGCTCCTTTCCTCCCATCTTGCCTATTCATTTCACCCAGACTGCTGGCTGGGCTTCTGGCACTAGAAGGAATCACAAGCAAAATGATAGTTCTTCTGGGCATGGTGTCTCATACCTGTAATCTCTGTGACTCTGAGCAGGGTGATGGCAAGTCCATCACCCTGCTCAGAGTCACAGAGCAATTTAGCAAGGTCCTGAGCCTTAGCAATTTAGCAAGGTCCTGAGCAACTTGGTGAGTCCTTTTCTCAAAATAAAAACTAAAAGGGCTAGGGACGTAACATGCCACTGGGTTAAATACAATAAGTAAATAAATGTCTGAAGCACAGTGGGCTCTAAAAACACCATCATGGGACATTCCTCAGAAAGTGAGTCCTCCTCTCCTACAGAGCAAGAGCAAAACAAAACTGGATTCATAATATTTTTTTCATTGTCCATTAATTACCCTGACCACAGGCCTGTCTCTGCAGGCTCCTGCTATTTTCTGAGTACGGGAGGGCTGGGAACTGCTGCCTGTTTCCGCCCTCAGATGATCCTAGGTCATCATTTCTAGGACAGAGTCTTTGTGTTCCCAGTCAGTGCCAGGACTGAGTGAGCACTCATGAAGGTTAATTCTTACCCAAGTCCCTCCCAGAAGTAGCACTTGGTTGGCCAATGACTGTGACCCAACTCTTCCTCAAGCTACCGGCAGAGGGAGCCCACATCTCACAAGTGAAAAAGGCTGACTTGTTTGTAGTGGTGGGGACTGGATTTCTTGTCTTGGTACTGGGGACCAACCTCAGGAGCACTTTGCCACTGAGCTACATTCCTAGTTTTTTTAAATTTTAATTTTCAGACAGGGTTTCACTAAGTTATTGCGGGTATCTCTGAATTGCTGAGGTTGGCCTTGAACTTGTCATCTCCTACCTCAGATTCCTGAGTTGCTGGAATTACAGGCATGTGCCACCTTACCACGATGGAGGCTTTTCTTGATATTGGCCCTTTTCCTTCAGAGAGCAGGACTTCTAGACATTTGTGGCCCCCATAAGGGTAAACCCTCCACCACACCCATCCCAGAAGAGCAGCAGAGTCAGTTCCCCCTGCTGGCACTGGAAAAAGGGGCCTGATATACACCCAGGCCCAACTGACTGCTCCCTGACCTCAAGTCACTACCACCACTTGCTACTGTCAGTCTGCCAAATGGCAAGCTGGGGAGAAAAGATGTAGCTATAGGGACTTTGGTTTTCTAGGACAACTGGGTACAGGACCCCTTGGCCCCAATGTCCAACCTCTTCCTCTGCCTATTCCCTTCTCTGAAAGGACAGCTTTATGCATTCCCCAGGGGAGTTGTCATGACTACAACCCCAAAGCCTATGCACTCAGATCCCAGGGCAGTCCTCTCTGCCTTCCTGGTAATCCCCTGGCAGGCCCTGCCTGTATAAAATGCTCCCACAATGTCCCAGACAACTGTGTGACCTCAAAAAGTCACTCAGCCACCTCAAACCTATTTCCTTATCTGCCCAAATGGGCTAGCTCTTGGCTGTTAGAAGATGAAACAAGATAGTGTTTGCAAGAATGATTTAAAGAAGTATAAAGCTTTGCAAAAATATTAGTAAGACCAGAACTACAGCCTTGGAGCTCAGAGCACAGGGATCAGAATGGAGAGATCCCAATTCTTTCTCTAATATTGTCCATTTGTGTCCCCCAAATATCCCAAGGTAAGGTCCTTGCTGGATCTCTTTCCCCACAGGCCCATTTCCTTTTGCAATAAAATGACCCAGATGCTGCAAGATGGCAGCTCCAATCTCAGGTTTCAGTGCAGGTTTATTTCAGTTTTATGTTTTACTCCAGGCAAGTGCTTATTACATGGATAGTATTCATGTCTCAATACCTAAAGTCTTGGAGCATGAACAGCCACTAGAATACAATTCAATAGTAAAAATACAATATGTACAAAATTAGGGTTTTTGTAGTTTTTTTTTGTTTTTTCCCACACAGCAGATGTATCCAAACACATAAAAATCTCTACAGTCTGGGGTCGCTACAGTTTATATTTCAGGAAACGGAGACACAGTGACCGAGTCCTCACTGTAAACAAGGGCCACCTCTTTGGGGTTTGGGGGTGGGACCCTGGGATGGGGGGGGGAGAAACAGTTGTTCCCAGAGAGCAGGGGTTATGGGAACCCAACTACTCTCCAGGCATTTGCTGCCTTTCTTTGGCCCCCCAAGGAACCATCCTCCCCCTCTCCCGGAGGTAAAGACTCCCAGCCAGTGAGCCACTCTGAACATCATCAAAAGGTAAAACACGCATGAGAGGTAAGATGTGTGTGTATGTGTGTGTGTCCCAGGCTGGAAGGGCTAGGGAGGGAAGGGCCAGGCGGTCCCACAGGGTGAGGACAGATGTGGTCCTAACAGTTCAGAAGGGAGATGCCCAAGGAAGGGCTGGGAGGTGGCTGTCCACTTGGGCACATGGCATCACAGCGTTCACAAACAACAAAACAACAGCAACAACACCCATTGTCACCAATCTGGACATAGTCATTCGGCACTAGATTTGGAGGCCCCCACTGCTGGGGGGTTGGGGAAGGGCAGATAGATGATGAGGTATCTGTGCAGGCCCAAGGACAACTGGCCAACACAAGTTTGAACTCTGGAACTGGCCTCAGGACGTTGGGAGAAGTGAGCATGGGGATGGGTGCGGGTGGGGGTGTCACCAAAGTGCTCTGAATGTGCAGGCACCAACCTCTGTTCTTCCCACTGTCACAATAACAGTAAAGCTGCCCCCGTGGAGCTAGGGTGTCAGTACGGAGGTGGCTTCAGGGGCGGGGGGGAAGCCGGCCTGTGGGGCAAGATAGTGCTGAGTTTGGGTAGGGGGAGTACCACAGTCCTCCCACAGGTCCCAGTGGGGACCTGGTCCTAGGCCATCCACCTTCCCCACCCCAGGAGTCAAATGAAAATAAGGAAAGTCCCCTGGGAGGGCTCTAAGACCAGGAAGGAACTGGAAGGATTCTTAGAGCATCTAAGAAGTCTTTATTTCCAGGGAGAATCTATTCAAGACCTTTGCTGGCCTCCTCAGTGCCAGCAGGCAGGGCACTTCCAAGGGTCCTAAGCTCTCCTTTCCTGGTTCTCCTGCCTGCCCAGCACCCCATCAATGCAAACTTCACACCTAGGGACACTCACTTCCTCCCCCCCTCCCCCATCAACCAAAAGGCCATCAGTGAATGTGCCCAGTGGGGAGCTGAATGTGCACACGTGCATGTAACTGAGTGTGTCTGACACAAGGCCACTTATAATAAATATCCACATAAAAAGAAGCCAAAGCAGTTGGTAGAGATAGGGAACTTGGCATCCCCTAGCACAGAACCCTTTGCTTCACCCTGCCCCAGGCTCAGTCCTCCTCTTGACTCAATTAAGGCCCTTTCCTCAGAGGAAGGTGGTGGTGCGTTGTAGGGGACCCTCAAAACCACCCATTAGAAAGGGGGAAGAGGGAACACAAGACAAGTACAATGGAGCAGAAGCAGCAGCTCCCGAGGAGTCAATAACCCTTGGCTCTGGCCTGGTTACCTTCTCTGTTTAAGTCCCCAGGGCCTGTTTGGGGCAAGGTTCAGGGTTTTGGCCATGCCCCTGGATTTGAACTTCCTAATGCCTCAACACTGTGGCTTCTAAGCTCCTAGAACCAAGACCAGCTGCTGGCCCATGTCTCCCAAGCTGGAGGAGGCCCCAAATCCACAGGTGCCCAGGCACCCCCATCCCCTGGGAAAGTGCCCCACAGAGCAGAAATTAAAGAGCCAGGAGTGAATGGTAGACAGCACCTTGGGCTGCTTTCTGAAGTCAAAGGTCAAGCCAAGGATGGGGATAGAGGGCTGGAGTAGCTCTCCTCTCAGGCCAGGCCTGGGTGGCTGCAAGGATAAGGGAAGACGGCAGGAAAGAGAAGCCCCACCTTCCCCAGCCAAACCTCAGCCTGTCCTCCAGAAGCTAAGAGCCCAGTGGCAGGGGTTGAAAAGCTTGGCAACAGCTTGGGTTTTGTTTATTGTTGGTAGAAAATCGTTTTAAATAGTTTCTACTGTAACAAATCATAGTGACCCCAACCACATCAAAGAGCTCCAGGCCAGGGCACCCACATGTTCAGGCACAACTCCATACCAGCTACTGCCTAGGATCTGACACCTGTACTCAGAATAGGACCCCTCACCACCTGTCCCCAGCTTTCTGGGCCAAGTGGCTTCACTCCTGCTTCCCCATTTCCCTCTAAAGGCCTGGGAGGAAAACACTGAGGCTGGGAGTGAGGGCCCAGGTGCTCAGCCACCCCACCAGAGAGAGCAATAGCAGCAGCAGTACAAAGTGGGCAGGGTAGGGAGAAGCCAGAAAACACGATGTCACATCGTGCTCCTCTTGGGGGACAGCAGGAGTGGCAATGGAACTGGCACCAGGCCCAATGGGCGTCACATCCACTAGCGTGTCCTCATCAGTCATCAAGTCCCAATGCAGTGGGGTAACTCCCTGCCCTGTACCCAACTCCATGGGGGGCCCTCCCTTCCTTGGCTCAGAGTCTTTGCACCCCCTTCCCCTAGGAGGCCTGGGGGTGTGTGGGTGGGGTGGGCCTGGCTGGAATGTGTGGAGCTGGTGGGTGGGAGAGTGGGGGACATGTCCCCCTCCCTGCCCCCACTGGGGGGCCTGAGTGGCCTCATCCTTAAGCCAGCTTTAGTGTGCTGACCGGGAAGGAGGGCATGGTGACCATGGTCACAGGGTTGAGCACTGTCTGGCCCACCAGCTGGGGGTGGTGTACCACCTGGGCCCCCACGGCTGGCTTTGCCATGACTGTAGCTGGGGGCCCCAGTCCGGCTGTGCCATTCACTTGCTGGTGCGAGAGGGTGTGGGCGATGTGGCTCACTGCCACTGGCTGGCTCACTGCCACAGGCTGTGGGTACAAGGGCAGCTGGGAGCCGAGGTGGGCCACATGGTTGAGGGTGGCAGGGTGCACTGTGATGTGGCCAATGGGAGGTGTGGCAGGTGCCAGCTGCACAGCAGGGCTGGGGGCAGAGGGGGCAATGTGGGCAATGTGCTTGCCGCCCGGCCCCTGTAGAACATGGTTCACAGTCTGGATGACTGAGGCATGGGTGGTAGCCGTGTGGGCAATGACCGTGGAGCCACCCCCAGCAGTGGCCACCAGATGGGCTGGGGCTGGTACCAGTGTCTGGGCAGGGGTGGCCGGTGGGGGAGGAGGGGCAGGCAGAGGGGTCTTCTGTTGTGGCGGCTGCTGCTGCACAGGGAGGTGGGCAGGAGATAGGGCCACTGGATGGGGGTGGGGGTGAGGGTGAGGGTGGGGAGGCAGAGGCGCGGGGGCAGTGCTGGGGGGTGGGAGGGTGGACTTCAGCAGCTCCGGCTGGGGACGATGGCTCATTTTAGGTGGGCCCAGGCCTGCCCGGTCCTCCTCCATATCCTCGTCTATGTTGTCCTCACCCTCTGTGGGGAAGAGGGCAGGGAGCATGTCAGAACGGTGTGGGAAACAAGTGGTAGGAGGTATTAACACCCAAGGGAGTTTGGGAAAATAACAAGGCTAGGGCAGGGGGCATCTTTTCTACCAGGCCAAAATTTGGCCAGGGGAGCTGGGGACAACATTTGAGCATGGTGGGAACAGTGCAGGGGCCAGGGCTCACCAGAGGCTGTTGAAGTGGAGGCCTGGTCGTCCTCAGGCTGGCCTGTCTGCCGGAGCACACGGTCAATCTCCAACACATCCATCCACTGGCTCAGCTCGTGCTTGAGTTCTGCCAGTCGCTGTTGCGTGGCAATCTTTTCCCGTGCCAGTCGCTCCATCTCGTGTTCATACTCCTTTTCCTTCCTCTTCAGGGACTGAGGGACAGGGCAAGGGACAGCAGGGAACCCTGAGCAGTAGCCATGGGCTTATGGTATCTTAAAACCTCTCTGTCTCCACATCAGCTGGCCAACAGGAACAAGTCTGCAATGACCAGGGAGCCCAGGAAGATCGAAGTTGTTGGAGACCATGCCTGACTCCTACTCCGCGGCTCTGTCCAACAAGGCCCAGCATCCCAGGCAGAGGGCTCTTGGGCAGGTGCTAGTGAAGTGAGCACAGGTCCGACAGCTCTCACCCAAGCAGGGGGGAGCCCTTCCTCACCCTCCACTTGACTCAGCCCTGAGGGGCTTCACTGCCTCTTGCCCCATTTCCCCTCCTTGCAACCTTTCTACTTCCAGGGTCACACCCAAGGCCCCCATCACCATTCGTTCCACTCTGCTCAGTCACTGATGCCACAAGCTATCCTCCTTACAACCCATTTTCAAAGACCCCAAACAATCCTGAAATTCTCTCCACCCCATCATTCGATCATCCCCTTGGTAAATTTGATATCCTTGGAATAAGACCCACTTATTTTGTGACAGCATCCCCTCCCCATCTCCTCTCCATGACCTGCCTCCATCTCCTCCTGAGCAGTTTTGGGATCTACATCTCCCTTCTGACCTCCTAGCTACTCCTCACAGTGCCCACCTGTGCTGCCTCAAGACAAGGCTGTTACACTCTGTCCCCACCCAGTACCCTGCCTATAGCTCTCTAGACTCCACAGGCTACTGAAACCCCAAGTCCTGAAATGTGCCCCATGGCTGACAAGAAATGCTCCTGGGGAACTTGATAGCAGCCCCTGACTCTGCTTAGCACCATTACAGAAGCTTCTGTTCTTCTCCACAGGTTCCAGGTCAGTCCTTCCCCACCATGCTGATGCATTACCCACTTTCCTGAGGGGTTCCCTTATCCATGGCACCATCTCCCTCTCCTCCAGGCCCTGATGACCTCCTAACTCTCAGGTGCTGACCTTTCACACTAGGCATCACTCCCCCATCATAAGCATCTCCAGTTTCTCTGTGCACAGGCTTATTAGCATCTCCAAAAGGCCAGCTCATATCCTCCTCAGCTCCTGTCTACACCAGTCTTTCCTGAGCATCCATGATTCTTGACACTTCATTAACTCAATTCTTCTGTCTCACAGGCTTCCTTGTTAGGAGCCTCTGCTTACTTACGCATGTCATGACCACTGTGTCCACCAGACAAGGCAGATAGATGCTCCTTTCCTTGCTGCCTCCTGAGTCCCTTTCTCCATCTATTCCTGAGCACCTAGCTTCCGAGGTTTGCCAGTCACATCCAGGTACGGAGCGCACAAACCAAACTGAACACCTTGTCTTAGTCTGAACCTTCCAATCCCCAGTCTTATTCTGCTCCAAGACTACACCTGAGTCCCCACCTCCTCCACTGTTCTTCCCCAGCCCAAGGCCTCACCTGACATCCCCTGCCTCAGAGCCCTTCTCAGCACCTATAACACACAGCTGAACGTTAATTGGGAGACTTGTCAGATGGAACTTTGAATCAGACACTGGCTTGTAACACTACCCAATATTTCATGTGCTTATGTTTGGTCTTTTCACCTCTACACACACTGTCCCTGTCCAACCTTCAAGCGAAGGTAAGAACGGTTCTGACCCTACCGTTGACCAGGAAGTTACAAAGGGTGTTTTCTCAGCCCCAGGGAAGGATCTATGAGCCTGCTGCCCTGCTTTCCAGTGAGCACTTCAGTTCCCACCTCAGTTCTTTCTCTCTCCTTTATAGCAGGGAGAATCACAGGAGTACAGCAGTCTCAAGTCTCCCTTGCTTGCATTCCCTTGAGGCAGTTCTGCAGAATCTTTTTCCTGACTTGGCATAGAAATGCCTTTAATCCCACCCACCTGCTAGACCCAACTTCCCCACACTCCTCCTGCAGCCCCAAACTTCTACCTCAACAGTGAGAAATGCCTCAAACCACTAGTGCCTCCAACAAATACCCAGATAGAGCCTTGCTCTATATTGGTCTTGACACCCCAGTCCCTGATCACAAAGACCCCCCCCCAATCACCCTGGCACTAAGTAAAACCTTCCTCTCCCCATGTATCTGCTAGAAAGAACAGGAAAACACCTTCCCTCCCCCTACACACACACACACCCATGTGTGGCTTCTCACCTGGCTCTGCCCCTGAGGGCTGGACAGGACATCAGATGAGGCAACATCGACAGGCCCTTGGTGACTCAGCCCTCACTTGAACCTGGTGGCTGGGGGCTGGAAGCGTCATCCTGAACTCTACCCACTTGCAGGGAGGCTAGACTTCTGGGTCAGGGAGAGAGAGTGTCAGGGGCCAAAACCTCTTCTCATCTAGTCCAGTTCCCCACAGGCCTACAGGTCCCTGCAAAGTTTCCCCATGATCTAATGTTAGTCCACACTACTTCATTTTTTGTTTTCTGTGGTGTTGGGATGGAATCCAGGGCCTGGCACATGCTGGGCAAGTGCTCTACTCACTGAACTACACCCCAGCTCATAACACTTTGTTGTAAACTCACTTCCTTTCTGTGACTACCTGGACACACATTCCTCCTCTTCCTCTGTGTCCATGCCTATGGTCTTCTCCAAATCTTTTACCACCTCCAAGTAACACTGAGGAACAGTTAAGGACTACATCTTCCTATAGCCTCCTGCTCTCCACATGTCACCATAGCACTACATCCACTTGGCTCTTTTAATTCCTCCAGGACCAACTTTCCACTCTCATCTACTTCCTGCAGTCCATGTCTCTGCGGGACAACCCTCCTGACCATCTTTCACTTCCAAAAATGCATCCTCCTCCCTCCTGCTGGGGAAACTGTGGCCTGTTCTTGGTTCTTTGTCCTCTACTTTGCCACATTCACCCCAACTTATCCTGCAGGTCCTTTCTTCAGGGATGACCTCTGTAACTTCCCAGATCCTGACAACCCTGTCCCTACTGTATCCTCATAGCACACAATCTGCCACAAGATCAAACCTTCCAGGACAGAAACCCACCCTTTCTTCTTGGCTCTCCACTGCAGCCTTAGAAGCAGACTCAGGGCCTAGCTAAAAGTACTTGAAGGAAAAAATAAATGAGTGTCCTTGAGGGTTTCCACAAACTTGTGAGTTTTCTGCTGTTTCTGCCTCCATTACAACACCCAGACAAGCATTTATGGTAAGCCTGAGGTACCACCCACTTCCTACTCAGCCCAAGTCTGATACTAACTAGCTTTATTTTACAGCCTCCACTGAGTTTTTCTGAATTTTTTTCAAATCCATATTTGGGTCCCCCCCCCAAGTATGTACCTATAGAGAAATTCGCCATTTTATCCTTGCTATTTCTCAATAACTACTGAATTTACAGTACCACGAATTATTTGCCTGAACAATCTCAATCCTCCTAATATCTCTGGGGCACTATTACTTTTACCTACTTAGAACTGCCATACAGAAAAAAAAAGTGATATTCATAGGAAATGTCACTGCGTGTCGACAAGGATTTGCTGAGATCATATGCCTAAGAACGAATAAATTATATCTAAGCCAGAAATCTGCAAAAATATCCCGGAAATAAGCTACTCTGCCTCTAATAGCCTCTGCGCGCTCGGCGGGGGGTGGGGTGGGGTGGGGGGCCTCCCAGGCCACTCAGGCCACAAGCAAGGCCCCGCCCCTCCTGGAGCACGCGCGCACCCACGCGGACTGGCTTTGCTGCGTCACTCCCAGCCTGACGCACCCTCCCTCGGCGCGCCCAGGAGTCCCGCCCCGAAGCCGACCCAGCCAATCCATGAGCTCGCTCCCGGCTGCCGGGAAGCGGCTTGGATGTGCGCCAGTCCCACCCTTTGCCAGTAGGGCGGGCGGAAAGGCGCGCGTTTGCTGGCGACTTGGAGGGAGGGACCAACAGGCGCAGCGGCGAACCGCGCCTCCGCCCCCACCTCGAGCAAGTCAAGCTCCAGTTACTTCAGGGCTGTGACCCGGCTCTCCAAACCAAGGTTGGGCTGTGGCATCCCGCCAACCCCTCTTGGCCACCCTTCCCACTGGGGCTCTGACACCGTCTAGCCTCCAAAACCTTCCCAAATAGGCCGACAGGGAGACCCCGGGGCTCATCCCCACCCCCAGATCCCGTGCAGCAGGGAGTCTTAAGTCCCTCCCATTCCCCCAACGGCTCCTGGACTCCGCGGCAGCTGAGCGTGGCCGCCAGGCCCATCCCCCATGATTTCCTCAGCACGCGGAAACCCTCGCCGGTTTCCAGGGAAACCGAAACTCCAGGCCGTCATGGCAACAGTCTTATCTGGCAGCACCCCCCACTACCGCAGAACGGAGTCCTGGCCCAAAGGGAGAGGACACATAGCCAGGAAGACACCCTGAGGGGAAAAAAAAAAAAAAAAACCCTTTTCTCATCGGAGACGGATAAAAACGTGACTTAATTTTTTAAGATTCTGAAACCCCGGGGGCTGTTGGCTACCCAGTAAAACCGCCGCATTCTCTAATTCCCAAATGCGGGTCATGGGATATCATTGCGCACACCAAAAGGGTCTTCATCTTGTGGATAAATGCGGGGGCTTCACTGGAGCGACGCAGTGTCGGCGGAGACCACGCCCAGGTGTCCCCCTCTTCCCTTCCCCCGCCACTAAAGATAGTCGGATTTCCGCCCAGGGGCTCAGAGCCGGGAGACGCCGGGCCTGATCCGCGTCCTCCTCACCCACGGTGCGCTAACTGGCACAAAGCGAGGGGTGGACACAGGGACACTAAGCGAGTCTTCGGAGCGCATCTCATCAACTCTGGGCCGCTGGAGTGCCACGGACGCGCCGCAGGGGGGAGGGGCGGGCCGGGGAGTGGAGCGTTTTGGCCCTCCCGCGCAGGCGCGCCTTTCTGCCCGCCCCCTCCCGGGCTGGGAGCCCCGCTGACGTCAGCCGGGCCATGTGCTCGGCGCCCGCGTGGAGGCGGGCGGGGGAGCCCGCAAGCGCGGGAGAGCGGGGCGGGGCCGAAGGAGGAAGGGAGGGCTGCGGAGCCGGGAGGAAGCTGGCGCTGCGGCCGTCGCGGCACCGCCCGGCCCTGCTTCCCTCCCCCATACCTGGATGTACCGCAGCGCGGTTCGCAGCACACTCAGATTCGAGGTCTTCTTGTCGTCCACATTAGGGATGTTGCGCTTCAGGGTCTCAAAGCATTCCTTCAGATGGGCCCTCCTGGGGAGAGGGAGCAAGCTCTGGTCAGCCAGCACCAGAGGGGGAGGAACAGGGGCTGGGGGCAGAGAAGGAAGGCCCAAGGGAAGCTTTGAGTCACCGAAAATGGGTGAGTCCAGGGGCAGGCAGGGTGGGTCCAAAATCACACACGCACGCATACACACCTGTTTTTCTCCAATTTGTTGTGGACTTCTCTGGTTCCAATCCTGAAACCCAGATAGACAGGAGGCTCAGGGAGGAGGGCCTGATTAGGCTGCCTTCCTGACTCCCCCCCGCCAAACCCCAAATGACAGGGTTTTTTTGTCCCCAACATTCTCTCTGGAAGTATAAAACAGCAGTGGAAGGTGTTCACCCTGTGCTGAGCTGTGTCCACCTCCTGAAAGGCACATCTACGCTCATCCTGCTGATCTGACAAGAGAAACAGCTTAATTATGGCAAGGATCTTTTGGGTGGAGATCTCTGGCCTGCTTCAAACCCACAAACTTTGTAACCCCTTCATCCCACCTGTCCAACTGAGGGGACATAAGGGCTCCTAGGACTCAGAGAAGCAGCCAGTTGAGCCAGACCCTACCCAAGAAGCCCATAATTCAGTATTCTGTGAAAAGGCCTAGAAATGCTTCCTAACCTTGGAGGGAGTCAGAGGACACAGAAGTCTGAGGACAAAAGAGCGCAATGGCCATATATCCATTCCAGGATACAAATAGGTACAATAATGTGTTCAAATACAGGAGGTGCTTCTAAGTTAGACAGGATATGCCTGGAAAGGCTCCTTCAGTTAAGGTACCTTACACAGCTCATAGGGTGGACAGTTCTCCTGTCCAACCTACCAGCCCCAAGTCTGCCACAGTTCACTCACCCCCCAGGCCTCTTCTTCTGTTCACTGGATTTGACTTCTTCAGCTGGTGCCAACTTCAGAGTCCCAAGTGCAGGTGGGGGTGGCTGTTGGGGGGCTAGCTGAGGCTGGACTCCAGGGTGTGGTGCTATGGTCAGGATGGGTGTAGGGAGGGGCTGCAAAGGCTTGGGGCTGCCAGTGGGTGCAATAGTGGTCTTCGGGTCTGGCAGGAGGGGAGCAGGGGTGGGCCCCTGTGGCCTGGTAGGAAGGGGGGCAGGCTCCTTAATGCTGAGTCCAGGGGTGCTGACCAGGGCTGGCTGACGAGGTACCAGGGGCAGAGGCTGGGCTGCAGGAGGCAGCGGTGGGGGTGGGGGCAGTGGCTGGGGGGAGTTGGTCACTACAGGAATAGGAATGACAGTCAGTGGGGTGGGGGTAGCAAGTGGTGGTGGGGGTGCTGGTGGGGGTGCTGGTGGGGATAGGGGGAGGGGTGGTGCCTCGATGCGGGGTTCCTCCACAGGCAGAGCATGTGCCAGCCTGGCCAGGCTACTGGCCTTCTTCTGCTCCTGTTCCCGCTCCCGCTCCAAGCGAAGGCGCTCCTGCTCCTCTACACAGAGAAAACAATGGGTGGTGGTAGAGTTTCCTCAGCAGAGCCAAAGGTCCTGGGTCCCCACTTCTGTCTGCCAACCCTAAGCCATCCTTTGACTCTATCCCACTCCGGTCAGTGAGCACTGCCCACCACACATACCCAACCATTCCAGACAGGGATTTAGCTAAGTGTTGGGGACACATCAGTGAACAAAAGAAAGCAGGCCTAGTCCATGCCACTGGAGCTCACAGCCTGGGGCAGGGGGTGGAATGACAAGTGACAGGATGTCAGGTCAGAATGGGGGAAGGATAGGAGATGAGGAGAGGCAGAGCTGGAGTGGAAAGGATTCTGCGGACCTGGCAAGCTGGGTTTACAGGTGATGAGCAGGAAGGGTCAAGAGCAACAGGGCTGAGGAACCCAGAGAGATAGATGAGGAGGTCACAGAGCTGGGCAGAGACCAGGCCACAAAAGACTGCTCAAGGTACTATAGAAGAATGGAGGAGGACACTGATAGATCACAGCTTCTGTGGAAGGCTTTCCACAATAGTTCTCCAGCATCTTCTAGAATGCAGACAGGACCTTTATATCACAGATGTGATAAATGACCTCAGAGCAGCAAAGTGTTTGTTGAGGGTCATCCAGCAAGTCTCCAGACACTTGGCTGGATGTCCTGTACTTCCAGTACTTGCTATATCAACACAAGCTCAGCAGGTGTCTTCTCACATACACTCACCTCCTCCCATCCTCACAAGAGCCCCAAGTCACAGAGCAGGGATATCACCTTCACCTCACAAGGAAATAGCCCAGAACTCCCAGACTAGGTCAAGGCCTCTGTTTTCCTCAGGGACCATTCAGCAAAAACACTTGCACCTTCTTGTGCTAGGACTTATTTCTCTCAAATCCCCCCTGTCCCTATCAGCAGAAGCACAAGCTAGAAAGAGGTAGGCAGGATGGTCTAGCAGGTCCCCAGACCTTTGTGCTGGAAGCCCACAGGAAGGTGAGGATTCTAGAGAGCTGGCTGAACAGGGTAAGGGGAGAGGTCCTCTCCTGATCCACAGCCCTCTCTTATCTGTCCCCTGTCCAGTCCTCTCTCAGGTCCCACCATTAAGTTCCCTGGATACAGAGCTGGGCCACCTCCAAGCCAGGGAGAGGCTGGACAATCAGCCCTCTCCTTCCCCCAGTGCTGACTAACGCGGCTGACAGCACTGGATACGCCCCAAACACACAAGCCACCCCATGTGATGTTAGGGTGGGGGCTAAGTCCTCCCTAAGGAGGAGGGAAGCACCCCCCCCCCCAAGTCCAGCTTGCTCAGGAGTCCCAGAAAACCTGAGGATCCCAGGCCATTTGGCCAATCAACTCCAGGGTGAGCCACGCCTGTCCTAGCCCCTCCCAGGGTGGGGAAGAAGCAAAGGAGGAAGTATAGAGGAAGTGCTCAGAGGGAAGTGCTCATGGTTTCCCAGCAGTCAGAGTTCAGGGCTGCCAGTTCGTGGCCCTCTTCCTATCTCTCCTGCCCTTCAGAAAGGAGAGCTGCCAGGCTGGGGCAGGTCTGCTCCAATAAGGAAAGGCCTTGCTCTCCCTGGCCTCTCCCAGCCAGCACTGGCTTATGATACTGCCCCAGAGAAAACCAGCTCGCTGTGGTCCAGCTTCTTACAAACCACACTGGCAAGGAAACCCGCAGAGTTCCAGACACAGAACTGCTCTTAGGCCCAGCCTGGGACACCCCAGTATGCTCCCTGCAAAACAAGCCCTCAAGCTCTGGGCATAACACCACCTCCACTCCTTTGACTGATAGAACTTTCTTAGGCTTTGAGACAAGCTGATACTACTGGGAGGGACAGCACCCCAAGGTCCAAGAACAGGTGCCCTAGGAACCCAGATTGAATGGAAAATGCATATTATTTTTTTGAGTTGTTGATGACGGAACCCAGGGCATTCCTCATGTAAGGCAAGTGCTGTATCTCTGAGCTACCCTTGAAACTTCATATTTTAAAGCAAGTCCAAAGCTTACCTAGGAGATGGCAACTTCCTTTTCCCCTTCCTTCTCTCTGCATCCGCCAGAGCCAAGCAGGTGTGCCTCACAGGTGCCAGGAAAGACCCAGGAGAATGGCAAAGCTCTATCACACCTGGACCAGCATATTTCTTGACTAGAGTGAAGAATAGGGCTGTGCCCCAGGCCAGAGCAGCTCATTAGAGCTTCCTACCCTTTTTCCTCAGTTCTAATTCATTTCCCACCCAGCAGTACACTACTGGTTTCTGGGACCTCCTTCAGGAGTAATCTGTGTTTAGGCTCTTTAGAAGAATGTTCTGCTATACCCACAAGTACAACTCCCTCCCCTTATTCATGCACATGCATACTCAAGCACATTCCCTTGGCTCTACCTAGATACTGCCCCCAAAGAATTTAGTGTGATCCTCTGATGTAATACAGAGGAGACAGTTCTAGCCCACATGGTGCTGCCTGCCACCTTCCCAACCTACTGTGGCCCAGAGACTCAGTAGGCAGAGTGCTAAGTGGATCCAAACTGGGTGGGCTCAAATGTGCTCAGGCATTGTCCTTATATACATGCTACCAGAGAGCTTTGCACATATGGCAGGCCCAACACAGGATATGGTCAGCAACTTCTAGACACTCCAGTCAGCTTCCTGGGAAGAATCCAGTCCAAGTCACCTCCATGAATGCTGGGAAAGACAAGGCCAGGCCCTACTAAAGAGCACCAGGATGGCCTTGCCCTTTCCTCACTCATTTCTCACACTTGACTCACGTGCATATACATCCTCAGGTTCATCATGGGAACAAACTGCCTGGTCTAGGCCAGGAAACCTGCCCTGGAGGTTGAAAGTGGGGAGTGGACAAGAGGATCCCTGTTCAAAGCTGGTCATCAGGTTCACATCTCACCCTCTTCTCACTCTCTTCCTACTCCAGGTCAGAGGACAGAACCTCAAGAAGAAAATGAATGTTTGATCATAAACACATGAGTTCTTTTGAGTAGATTTAGCTTTCCAGCACTCACCCATCCCCAAGTCCTCCTGATCTAGTACCAAGAAGCTGTGACCCGGCAGCTGAACTTGGCTTGCCCCTATTTCTCACTACTTGGGGGGAGGAGCAGGCCTTTGCAACATCTTAGAAAAATCTGCTTTTTAGCATTCTTTTGTAAGAGTTGCATACATCATCCTCTTCCATTTTAATGGTCAGCTCTGGAGTGATTTAACTGGGCAAGTATGGCTGACAGTGGGGTCTTTTCCCTTTCCCCAAATGGCTGGGCATCCTGCAGGTAAGGCAAGGGTGAAATGAAGCTTCCCTGGGGAGATAGTAGGGTCAATATGGTTCACCTCTAGCAGTGCCTGATACACAGTGGGGAACATGTTGGCACTCTTGAATTGCATGTATTAATGGTGGCACAGTCATTCCCCCACTCCTGGGACCACACTTAGGACATTCTGGGTCACTACTAGCACTGTCCATTACCTGACCCTGCTCTGGACCCCAAAGACAAGGGGGAGGGGCATGTGAGCAGATGTCCCAGCCCATCAGTTCTGCAAGGTCCAAGTATCTGGGTGCTGAATATTTCCAATGACTCCTGACCTTGAGAGGCTAGTCGATCCCTCAGAGCCTACAGACCTGCAGCTCCTCCACCCCATGGCCGCTGCCATTCCCCCTGCCCACCACTGAAACAGCGGCAGCGGCAGCACAAGCTGCAGGGAGGCAAGTGCGCGCGCGCGTTTGCACACACACATACACACACACACCACACTACTACCTCCTGCATGACTCATCATTGAAGCAACAATAGGCAGAGAAAAAGGAAAGGAGGGCAAAGCACTCTCTCCGCCACAATCAACCGGGCCGAATGGTTCTGAGAGGGCAAAGAAGTCCCAGGGAACTGCACACACACAGTTCTCAGACTGAGCCCCTCACAGAATTCCTGAAAGCAGTGGTCTTTCTCCTTGCCTTTATTTCTGCAGCACCCTGAAGCTACAGACCACCACTAAAGGGCACGTGAGGATAGGACCATAAAATCCTCATCTTTTCTATCGAGGGAATGACAAAGTTTGCCCCTTCTCAGTTTGGCTCACTCCAGAGTATGGCAAGGGGGTTTTGCGAGGAGGACCTAATGAGAACGTTTTGGGGCTTAGTGGGAAGATGTGCGCCCTGAGCTCTAAGTGTCTTGTTGTCCTGCAGTCTGATGGTTTCTTTCGCCTTGGGATCAAAAAAGAAGGCTGGGGAGAAAAAGGAGAGAGCAATGCAGCTCCTCCTTCCAAGGACAAACGCTCTCCCAGGGAGATGCCCAGCGGTCAGGACCCGGGCCCGACCGACACAGGGCCCCTAGCGGGCCCCGCCCAGGCCCCGCCCCCGGCCGAGCGTGAGGCTGCTAAGAGGGGCTGGGCCGCGCCATCCCCAGCGGGAGTGTCCCCGGTGCACGTGGTCGGGGGCGGGGCCCATTCACGTCACCACCCGGTGTAACCAACGGGCTTGGAACGCAGGCACACGCAACATTCCAGTCTAGAGCGGGTTTGGAACGCGCAGATATGCCACATTCCACACCTGCTAAAGTCCGGTGGGGCTAGGGGGGCCCGGGGACAGCCCCCAGCGACCCGCGGGCCACTTCGCAGACACCCAATCAGCCCAGCTCTTACCCAAACCCCTGACGCGCAACCCAGCCCAGCTCTCGGAGGCGGGGTCAGCGGGGCTGGCCAGGATCATAAGACACGCGATGTCATTTCATTCTGCAAAGGCCGCCTCCGCCCCAAGCAGCGCGTAGATCTGCCGGGAGCGCCCCCCGCACCCTCCCGCCGGGGCCAGGGAAGCCAGAGCTGCACGGCGTAGAGTAATCCCCTCCCCCAGCCCGTTACACACACGCCCACTTGTGTGCTGTACACACTCCCGTGTACACGTCCGTTCATCCTCTCCCGAAGCTCAGATCACACATCCCCCGTGCACACACGCACGCACACGCGGGTCTGCCACCCCCACGCAACACCATTCCTCACCCTACCCCCCCACCCGGCTCACACATCCTCAGCGCTACGAAGGGCACAGCCGGCCACCGCGAAAGGATCCCCCCACACACTGAAGGTGCACTGGGGTGCCAAGCAGTTGAGGTGGCGGCCGCAGAAGCCGGGTCCCTCGCTGCATGTTAATGAATTCATTAATTATTTTCACTGCCCACATCACTCTTCCCAGGCGGCGGCTCTTGCGGGGAGCCGTGTGCTGCTAGACTTCTCAGGCCGCCCGAGAAGGGGGAGTGCTGCCTGAGGTTTCGTGTGTGTTCGGGATCCGGGGTCACTCGCCTCCCCTTCCCGGGTGCCCCAGGGGCCCAGCCCGGCCGCTCACCACGTGCTCTCTGTTGTTGCTGCGCTTGCCATTCCAGGAAGCGGGCCGCCTCCAGTAGCGTCTCTATGCTCATCGCGCCGAGAGCGGCCGGGGGCGCGCCGGGGCCGAGGCTGCGGCCCGCGAGCCAGGCACAGGTCAGGCTGGCGGGCGGGCTGGAGGGAGGGATCACCTCCGGGGGGCGACAGGGTTGGGCGGCGCAGCGCACTCCTCAGAATAGAACGGGGGAGCACAGGGAGAAAAATCTATGTCTCCCAAAATATTTGCAAAATATAAATTTGCAAATTAAAAAAAAATTTGATTAAAAAAAAAGGCGGCACTGCCTCTCTCCTTCCCTCCCTCTCTTCCTCCCTTCTGATGCCTCCCGCCCCGCGGTTCCCGGGAGTCCCGCCGACAAGAAAGGGCTTTGCAACAAGATGGCGAGGAGGCACCGACACACACAACAAGGGAAGGAGCCGCGCTGCCCCCGGCCGCCGCCCCCGCTACTACACCGGGGCCGCAGCCAAAGCCCGGACCGGAGCCCCCGCCCGCAGGGCCGCGGCGTCTCACGAAGAGAGGGGCGGGGTCGCGCGGTGCTGGCCCCGCCCACTCAACGGCGTGCGCACACGTGGCTCTAGTGGGGGTGGGGGGAGACGGAGTCAGGTTTGCGCGCTGTATTTCCGCTTTCCCGCCTCGCCCCGTCCCGCCCCGATTGCAAGCCACAAATTGAGCAAGGGTTGCGTGCTTGGGTCATTCACACGAAATGTGTTCTGCTGGAGGGAAGGATGGAAAATTCAAGACTTAAGTTAACTCAAATAAGGATATTCCATGTCAGGGAAACCTAAGGATGGCAGACTGGCCTGACCCCTAGGTCTCCATTCCCCACCCACAAGCGACCTAAATCCCGCTACCACCGGACTGTTGCAATTCCCCGGGGATCCGCCTCTGGGCGGAGCTGACGGGTGCAGACTTCAAGAGAAAAAGCAAAGGAAGCGGAGTCGTGATCCGGTTCCACTTTTTGTCTTCGTTCCTCCCCCCGCAGTGCGTTCGCATCCTATTAGGCTACGTCACCGGGCCGCGGGCCAATAGGCGGGCAGGACAACACGGCATGGAGCAGCTCCACATGGACACCCCGCACCGCCAGCCTTCTGTTTAAAGGGCCAGTGTCTGCAGGGTCACATCAGCGGGTGCGGATGGGCCACTGGGTAAACACAGGGTGAGACACCTAAAGGGGAATCCCGCAGTCATGCCCTGGCTTACTTTCTACTTTCACTATCCTCCCATTTAAAGCCAAGTCTTTCCTTTCCTTCCCCCAAATTCTTGTCTTTGTCCAGGAGTGTCTGATATGGGTGGAGACTCTGAGTGTACCACCCCAGAGACCACCCTTTGCTCAGTGGCCTGGTCAGCGGAGTCAAGGCGAAACGTCCAGAGTCCAGGCCAAGGGGGCGTGGCTCAAATCGGGAACAACAACGTGGAGGGCGGAAGCCCGGCGCTGGGCGACCCAGATCCCTGGGTGGGCGCTGGGCTCTTGGGGCGGGGTAGCTGCCTTGGGTTTTAACTGCGCTCTCTGGGGGGCGGGGCCGCCCGCCCGCCTCTCCCTGATGGAGTGCTTAGGGAGCCTGGGTTACAGGGCTACAATCAGAAAGACCTTTGAGGCTAACTTGCCCAAATGTTCTCATTTTACAAATAAGGAAACAAACTCAGAAAAGGGAGGGAGTTGTCTACGTTTATTTAATGTTTGTTCCATTGCTCCTTGCCACAGGAGGAAGAGCATTTATCCCCGACCCCTCGGGCTACTCTGAAGCCAGTTCTGAGACAGGTCCCCCAATTTGGAGAGGGAGAGAGAGAGAGGGGGAGAGAGAGAGAGAGAGAGAGAGAGAGAGAGAGAGAG